TAATGTTCTCATCCATCTCTTGGCAGCAAAGTGAGGAAGCCAGTATCCACCAACCAAACAAAAAGAAAAGTAGGTGACGCTCTACCTGCCGCAGTGTTGCATTCACTGTCCCCCACCTCCCCCTCCCCAGATCTCCTGTAAAGAAAATGTCTTTATGTGATGAAATATAAAAAAAGGCAGCCTCTTGTCTTTCTAACTGCTTTCAACCTTGATCATGACAATATACCCCATATAAAGGTTATAATATCACAGATGTTTGTACGCCATTCCTGTCGTTCAACCTGAGAAGCGAGTGGTTTTCACGTGGTTGTTTGGTTTGTAAATAATGATAATAATTATAGCTATTTGGGCCCACCGTATGCATCACACTTACATTTGATGTAAGAGCACTTTTTATCCCCACTGCTGTGTAACCCCGCGTGTGGCGCTCGCATATGCGTAAGTGTGCGTTTTTGGAAGACGAGAGCTGGATAAAGATTTGTGTGTGTGTGTGTGTGTGCGCGTTGTAAATGTAAGACAGCGACAGATGTGTGCGTTTGTGTGAAAGTGGGCTCCGCAGGTCGCTTACGTTCCATCGATTATCAAATAAGATTTTCACTGTAGATAAGAGTGCATTTTGTTTCCAGTCTTAAGATTTGATTGCCTTTATTTTTTTCTAGACGACTTTTTTGTTGTTGTTGTTGTTTGTTTGTTTGTTTCCTGCTCCGGTGACATGACAGAACACACACACACACACACACACACACACGGTCCCCATATCTGTAGATACGAACCATGAAGCAATCAGTAGCCATCTCTCATTTGCGCTTGTAGTGTTTTAGTGAACTGCATGCAGGAAGTGACTACTGTCCGCTCATATGGCATACGATCATTTTAAAACCAAAAGAATAAAGGACATATTTTTTGTAAAGGCTTGTAGATTTCCTTTTTTTTTTCCGTTTTACTTTCATCTTTTCTTACATCCACGGTTCTAATTGACTGAGGATCATTCATGTGATTCAAGTTCATGTTACATTCATGTATTCACTTGGAACATGTGACAAGGGACTATTTGTTTCTTTTCTTTTTTTGTTTACTTTCTGTTCTAACCAAAGATGTGGCAACAAAACATAATCTAGTTTTCCAAAATAAACCTATTTTGGGAAACCCTTTATATTTTTGTTGCATGAAAGAGGCTTTCATTTGGGCTTCAAATGAGGTTTCAGTAATATGTTTCGCTAATAAGGCTGTTGTCAGCCGGGGGGATGATGTGGAAATACACTACTGGGACTCCGGAACTGGGTCAGGACCCCCCCCCCCCAACACGCACACACACACACACACACACACACACTCACCTGAGGGAGAAACTGGCTGGTGGAGTTGTTTTATCCAATGGGAGATGCTACAAATAGTATTTCACACAATTACTTAAAAAAAGAGTGGGAGCCCCAGTCTGATGCAGGATGACCAGCTAAAATACCTTAATATCTCCTCCTGCGCAACCGTTAAGGGCCTTAGAGATTAGCTTTAATTGGAAGTTTTAAATGCTTTAAAGTAAATCTCTGTGCAGAGAGAATATGAATAAAGAAAAAAGCCTTCCCAAATTCCTGCCCGTCTGCCAACTAGAGGCCTCCAGTTGGTCTGGGAACCAGCAGTTTATGTTTCTGTGTCAGCGTTTGTCACCGATTGCAGGACCCAGGCAGGTGTGGGGGGGGGGGAGAAGGAGAGGAGGGAGACGGAGGTGAAAAGCTGAGACAACCCCCACCCCTCCCCCCCCCCCCCCCCCCCTCCGAAGGCTTTGCTGCTCAAGCTTCTCCCATCCTGTTGCCTGGCAACCAAACATCACAGCACCACAGCTCTGTGATTGATCAGCAGCGATTCTGGGCTTTGCTTACCCACAATCCCCCGCGGTCTGAGAGCCAAACAGGTATTCCCCTCCCTCCCTCTACCCTCACTCGCAGACCTTATTAGTCTTTTTTTTCTTCGTATTATATAAAAAAGGTCACGTGATGACCCCGTGCTCTTTATGAGATCTGTTGGACAGCCTGTACTGAACATGCCATTGTTGGAGGATCATAAAGAGCCATTATGGCTGCCTTTGGGCCCGGCTGTGCGTCGCACCTGCTGCTGTGTGTTTGTAGTGTGGTCACGCAATGAGCCATGAAGGGATGCACCGATACAGAAAGAGGCAGGGCAACTATTTAAACAAAAACAAAAAAAAAAGGTTCCCAGTGCTCTTCAGTGCCTCACCCACCCCAGTAATCACCTTATTCTATAGCACACCTGTGCCCCCTACAGTCCAAAAGGTGCAATGATAGGAAAAAGAAGAAGGAAAAAAACACCAGTGGGGTGTGCAAATGGGAAGGGTGCAGCAGGAAGGGAAGTAAAGTCAGGCGCTCATGTTTTCCCTGCACGTGCCTCGTTTGTCGGCGTGAGAAACGGCTTTTCAGATCTGGTTTGTCTGTCGGAGGACAGATGTCCGGCCCGGGGTCGTCCTCAGGCCGAAAAATGCGATCAGCAAACTCGCTGACGTCAGGAAAGATGATTGACCTCCCCTCGGCCCGGATGATGTCAGCTGTCAGGGAGCGAGGCGCCATCTGCTGGCCGAAAGCCGGAATTCTCCCCGCATCCACCCCAAAAGTGGCGCTCGTGAAATGGCTTCAAGGTTACCGAGAGATAGCACTACATCTCTGAGCCGGGTATGTTGAAATGTCTGTTAGAGTAAAGGCGTTAGAGTTGGATTACTGCTTCTCCGTGAAGAACGGCATATAATTGTGTGTGTGAGAGAGAACAGAAGGAAAAAAACATCAGTTTCAGTGCATGAGGAAGGACTGGTTGGAAGCAGAGAGGAGTGTGCAGTCATGGGCTCAACACAGAAATATTTATTCACGGGCCAAAATCTGAGCAAGTCTTGATCAAAACAAGTCACCACTGGAGCCTTTACTCCATACCGCCGATAACTCAGAGGAACCCAAAACATGTCTTGAATTGTAATTTACACACAGGTGTTAATTGCAGTTCGTAAAGGCCAGTGACATTTAGCCTTGAGAGTTTTCTGGAGTGCGCTGGCCACGGATACATCTAATCAGTCAACTGAACACATGCCACACAGATAAACAACTCAGAGACAGCAGGACGGGCAGCACAACAGAAAGAAACCTTCATTTTCTGCACCCGGGCATCTCCAAATCTGGTTAGGATTCGTCACGGATGCCGGCCAGGAGAAGAAAACATGCACCTGTGATACAGCAGAACAATGGAATCCCAACCTATAGATTGTACACTCTCAGAAAGGAAAGCAACTAATTGTACCTTTAGGGGCCCAAAGACTTGTGAATGGGCTGGTAGGCTTGTGGTTTGTCTGTTTACTAATTGGGAACATATTAGTACGTTTCAGGGGCCTCTAAAAGTACAAATGTGTGCCTTTGGGGTCCAGTTATGAGCCATTAAAATTAAGTAAAGTAGCTCGGATGACATGATTTTCCATTGTGGGTACAATGTGGCTTACAGAAACATGGTTTTATTGTTTCACCTCATGGTTTCACAGTCATTTCAAACAGACTGAGCTGGGATTTGATTGTTTCTTTGATTGAGTGTTGAGTGTCCAAAGTGCAGCTGATCAGAATGTGGCATGTAGGGACTGAGTGGGTTGGTTCCGGAGGGGGGGGGGCTGGTGCCTCTCGGCGGCGTCAGACGCCCGCTGCTGATACAGTTTGCTCCCGGGGGGGCTCTCTGGTCTCCTCCTGCTGCTTCCCGGCCGGGGCTTCAGTCTGTGACTCACCGCTGTCTGGATTTTCCTGAAGGTGTGTGGAGCGAGGCCGCTCGGCAGGGGCGGCCTTGACCTGGCGGGGGTCCGGGGGCGAGCGGCTTTGGCGTGCCGTCGGCTCGGGGAAGTGGGGGGGGGCGCCCGGCCGGCCCGCGGGGCTGTGGAAGTCTGTGTTCATGTCGCGCTCCAGTGCGGACTCCACCGAGGGCAGCATGGGAGCGTTTTCTGGGAGGAAAGGGGGCGTGTTGCTGGCAGGGCTCTCTATGTGGTAGTGCTGCATGGCGGGGGGGTGGTGGGGGGGGTGGTGGGGGCTGTGGAAGGGGTGACTGAGGTTCACCAGTGGGCTGCTGGAGGAGTAGCTCAGCACAGAAGGCAGTGGAACAGAGTACGGTGGGGGGCTCAGTCCCTGCAGTGAACAGTCCCAGTCCTCCTCCTCGTCCTCCTCGTCCTCATCGTCCTCGTCATCCTCCTCGTCTTCCTCGTCCTCCTCGTCTTCCTCCCCGTCCTCGGGGTCGAAGGTTTCCAGGCTGTGGGTGCTGCAGTCCGACAGCCCGCTGCACACGCTGCTGCCGTCCTCGTCGTAAGCCTCGTCTTCCTCGTCTTCCTCCTCCTCCTCCTCGTCCTCCTCCTCCTCGTCCTCTTCCTCCTCTTCCTCGTCCAGATGGGGGCCGGCGTCGCCGGTGCTCTGGAGGAGCGTGGCGGGGCCGTGCGGCGTGCCGCTCGTCAGTGGAGACTGCAGGCTCGGCGGCGGCTGCTGCTGCTGCTGCTGGATCAAGGTGGAGTTGCTATGGTAACCGTTGCCATTGGTTACAAGCTGCTGCTGCTGCTGCTGCTGCCGCTCGGGCTGCTGATGGAGATACTGCTCCTCGCGGCTCTTCTCCAGCTCCAGCTTCATGATGGTGTGCAGGAAGTGGGTGCGGACGCGGACGGGGTTGAACTCCAGCCGGCCGGCGCCGTTGCTGCAGCCCTCCTTGGTGCAGCCGCAGGGGAAGGACATGCGGTCCACCTGCCGGCAGCCAAACACAGGCGTTTACAGCAGCGGCCGACATAAGCACAAGTGCCAGTCACAATTAGTCTTAGCCCGGATAGCTCTCTAAACCCCGGAACCGCCTCTGGGTGGCGTCACACGTCGGGACGCGGCTAAATGCAGCCGGGCTGCATAAAGCCGAGGCCACAGCCACCCCAATGACACACCAGTCAACTGCTCAGGCCCCGAATATTGCGTTCAGTTACGTGCCACCGTTTGCTCTTTTGTTTTTACGGCTTACATATTTTTAAAAAAATGCAAGAGATATTCCAATCTCTGCTAGTGAACCTCCTCATTTGTAGGAAGATTTCTATGAAATATCTGTGATCGATAGACAGTGAAAAGGACAGAAATGTGGTAGTTCATATTGCTCAATGCTAGATGTGTGCAAATAGTATGAATAATTTATGATAATGAGTTCGACAGAGAAAAATTGTGCGTATTGGTTGAGTAAGAGAAAGTGTGATTCTTTCTCTGTGTAGGGATATAAACTTTGAGCATCCAAAAGATTAATCTGGCCGTTTTGTTAGCTATGTGAGCTATAGTTCCGCCTTCTCCTGAGGACAGACAGACATTAACAACACTTTAGTATTATAGATGGGCCTCACCACAGTTCCATTTACCTGGCACTTAATGCCGGCCAGGCTGCAAGCACAGGTCTGTGGGTTGCATATCCCCCGGCAGCGACAGCCGCACTCCTCTCTGGACATGCGCAGCGCCCGCAGCTCGTGCTTCTCCTCCACCTCGATGCGTCGCACCCCGGAGGCCCGCAGGAGGGCACGCCGCCTCCGGGTGGTCAGGGGCTGGAGGAAGAAGTACTCATCCACCTCTGTGTTGTCCACGTCCAGATCGTCCTCTGAGATGTCGTCCAGGGTCAGAGTGTCTGCCTCCATGGACGACACGGTGCCATTCTTGGTCAGCTGAAACGGACACAAGCAGCAGACCGGACCACAGATGGGTGCGTAAGGGTGAACAAATATGTCCCTGTTTGACAATTCTAAATCACGCGTGGACATTTTACGTCTGTCCACTGACTCTGAGTTTGATGGCGTTGAGTTTCTCCTCTTTGAGATGATCCCTCAGCATGTTCCGGTGACTCCGTTTCTGTTCCATGGCGAACTCTCTGAGAGTGAAGCGCTTTACTCCGCTGTGACGTGGCGACATCCCCAGGGTGCTCCCTCCCTGGGTGGGCACAGTGGTGAAGCCCTGCCGTCGGGCGAAGTAGTAGACTGTCACGCTCTCAAAGTGGACGTTTCGGCTCCGAAGCCGCTTGGACTGCCGCTGGAGAGTGGCTGAGGCGGAGAAAGAGAGGGGCAAACGTTTTTGTCCAGCGAAAAAAAACAACCTTTTTTTTCTGTCTTAATAGGCAAGAAATATGGGTGAGTTCAAACACGACACCTTCAAAATTCATACACCTTCGTCATGAAAGCTGTAAACACCACAATCCGATGCGGTTTGTAAGACTAGAAGACAGCAAACAATTGTTCAATAGAAAACAAAAATGAATTATGTCAACACGTCTCTGTGACAGACTCTAAAGAGACAACAAAAAAAGGCATATTTACAAATGCTTACAGATATTACAAAAGTTTGGGGACCTTGGTTGCATCAGGTATTTAGGATATACGTAGGAGTATCATCAGCATAGATTTAGATTGTTTTATCTTTAAAAGCTCTGTAAGATGGTATTGAACATGTTGCAACCTCATAACAAAAACTGTCTCACATTAGATCTTTGGAGAACATCACAGATGAAAGGTTAGAACTAAAATCATAAATAAGATGAAAACCAGATGAGAGGTTCCCTTTTTTTCAACCACTTAATATTGAATACACCCTAAACAAGATTTGGATTCCTACTGCTTTTGAAATAGCACGACTACCTAACAGGGGCATCTGTATGCTTCGTGTTCTTTATGAAGCCTTGGAATAGCCTGGCGACCTGTACTGCGTCTGGGCTATTAACGAGCGGCACGACAATTTCTACAGCTTATACATAAGATGGTGGCGGTAACAGGTTCTTACAGTCCAGAATCTCGGAGGGGACCGAATTGTTGAGGCTGTCGCTGCTGTTGCCACTGTCACTGCAGGAAACCTCCTCGTCGTCGTCGGAGCCTCGCAGGGACAGAAAAGGGGATGGTCCCTCCTCCAGCTTCCTCTTCAGGATGCCACTCATCGTGGGGCGCTTCGCGTTGGTAAATCCTGAGACACAGACGACAATTATAGTTCACAGGCAATCATAAGTAAGGCTTCGAGGCTTTTAAATAACCAAGAATTAAAGCCCCCTTTTTTCATTTACATGGGAAACTGGTTAGTGAACTACTCCGCTGTTCTATTGGACGCCATGACACCTCACTGGGGTTTTATTATACCTATATAAAAAAAAAAGAATTACAAAAGGAAATTAATTATGCTGAAAAGTGAGGGTTTTGATAACCTGATGCTTTTTTCTCCAATTTGAGGAATGTTGAAAGAGAGCTACCAGCTCAGACTAGAGGTGGCTCGAACAGGCTGTGAGTTCCTCCCATTGTTCAGAGAGACGGCTGATGGGAGCAAGTGCGTCTTTAGGCAATTCTATGAACTTTGTCAACAATCAAATTCACAATGAGAATACCTTGAGCTTGCTGTCAGGACTGGCCAAGGATTACATCATATGCAGCAGAGCCGCATGTTGAACCAAGGTTTTCGCTCTCTTTCAGCCTTTGTCTCCAGTTACAACAAACCTTTTGTTTTGTTTTTTAATCCCCCACTTTATTTTACCTTTGATTACTCAGCTTTGACCTTCTTTTGAAATGAATCATTGTGTCCTGAACTGTCAGTACCTCAAACCTTCCTGGTTTTCAGACCCCCTCGACCCACTCTCCAGTACACTGTCTTTTAGGAAGAAAAAAAAAAAAACTGACAAAAAAAACCTGATGGAAATACACTGAGCACAGTGGGCTTTGTCAAACATAAGAAAGTCATTATTACACGTTAACGGACGTCCCCTTGCACGGTGCAAAAGACTGGCACCCTATACGGTAACAGGCTGCACTGGGATTAAACATGCAGAAGTCTGCTCATACGTCTGTCCTCCAGCCCGCCTGCATGCGCAGCCCCCCGCTCCCCATCCATCCCCACTTCTCCCACCTCAGAAAAAGGGAATTCTTATTGACAAAATATTAGTCAGCGCCATCCTGTGACGCAATTAAACCTCTCGGCGCCCCGTCCTGCTGAACGCATCAAAGGCTCCCCCGTGAGTGTGTCCCGTCCTCACTGACCTGTTTCCTTGGCTTGCCTTTCTTTGCTTTTTCGGGGGCTCCTCTCGCCTCTCGCCTCTGCAGCCAGCAGAGCTCACCAGCAGCAGCAGCAGCAGCCCAACGTGCCCATGTGTCGTGATGATGCAGTGAGCGCTGCCATGATGCCTTGCTCTCTCTTTCTCTCTTTCCAGCAGCCTCTGGCAGCGCTGCCTCTGCCACAGTGGTCCCTCTGCACCCTGTTTCTGCGCTCGTACTGTCAGCTCTCTCGCTGTCTGACGCTCTCCTGCTCTGCAAGCCACCCACCCCCCCCCCAAACCCCACCTGCTTCTTCTCCCCCCCCTCCTCACAAAGACTTGTTAGCTCGCTGCTGCTGCCGGCTGGAAGCGCTGGAGCCTGACTGAGGTGAAGCAAGCCCCCTACGAGATCATAGAGAGAAAAGTGTGTGTGTGTGTGTGTGTGTGTGTGTGTGGTGGAGAGGAGGAGGAGGAGGGAGAAGTGCAGATTCTGCTGCGTGAAAGATCTGTGTTCTGTAGCCCTATGTATACATTTATAAATAGTAATGCATAAATAATACATATGGATATATAAAAAGTCACCACTTTCATAAGTTTGTCACATGAAATCTGAAATCAATATGTCAGCAATACAAAATGTTCCTTGTTTGACATTTAAATTAAATAGCAGAGACAAAGAGATGTGATGAATATGAGAGAGAACCAGCTATGTACGGCATTTGCCTCAAAGAAGAAAATTGATTGTGAACATTGGACCCCCGATGCTCCATGGGCAAAAAATGGAAGGCTTCCGCTAAAACCACAAGAGAAACTGGATGGCATTTTTATCTTAAGGGAAAAATAATCATTCGAGACTTAGACTTTACTTTACATTCTTCCTCATTTAAAGATTTAAGAGTGAAAAGGGCGCTATGTGCAAATTGCCCTCTTTTTTCTCTATTAAAACTCTTCATTCATATAAATAGGACGACAAAAAAATTTTTTTCAAATGGGTGCAACATGATTTTAAAAGTTTTCACTGAGAGTAAATACACACACAGGGCCTGTGTGCAGCCATAAAGGATGCTGCCTGTAAAAGCCCCTCTCATTGGCCAGGTCATCAGTCATAAACAGTAATTAACATATTAGAAATATTTTCTAATGTCTTGTCTTTTCCAACAAGCTTCTTAAAACAATGATAAAAATGATTTTTTAAATGTATTTGAATTTAATTTATTGTTATTTTACAGGTTAACGAGTTTCATGTTGCTAAAAACATTTAGCCTCTCCACTTCCCAGAAATGAAATTCCCAAACGGCTCACAAAACAGCAATTACATTTGGTATTTGTTAACGTTGACAGTTGTGTCTGATTAGAAGTTTTTAAAAAATAATTCTGTGTAACGTCTAAGCATCTTTTAGGTAAGTTTTATTCATTTTAAAGTTGGTGGCTGTGGCTCATGTTCAGGTTCGCTCATGGTCTGAAAATTGCGGTAATGTTTTTAACTGCAGCGCATATTTACATTTAAACCCAAAGAGGTAAACAGAAAATAGTTATTTTTCGTGCTTTACAATCCGCTCCAAGACCTTGGATAATGCAGTGGGTAAAGTTACGGTCTGATAATGTTTGCACAATGTAGTATCTATGGTCATTATGATAGCAAAAGGCTACCTACGATGCTAGTTTAAGCTAGCTAGTCTTTAGCTTCGGCCGTTTTGCTGTTGTGAGCATCCATCCATGTCCGTTTTGTTTTCTTTGGTGCAGTTTATGTTGTTGTGAGGAAAGGAAATCTGAGTGAAGAACCCTAAACGTCCCTCTACCTGGGTCATCTTCTACTGCCCAGTGGGGAACCGAGATGCCCAACCAGGTGAGAGATCCGATGTCTCCAGCAAATCCTGTTCCAGCTCTCTGTCCCCCCGGAAAGAGGGTGTAATGGCTCATGTTCAGCAGGCTTCCTCACTCCTCCAGGCAGAGATGTACTCCCACCTGAAGCCTGCACTGAGGTGAACCTGCTCCCAGACTAGGAGGTGCAGTTCCATCCCCGGTTCAGGTCCAGCGCGCCCCCCCACAAACGCAACAGAAGGTCAGGGGTCATAAAACAAGCCTGACATCAGCCATAGACTTTTTACCTCTACGATTGTTTTATTCTTTTTAGTAACCCAGTTGGTATCGAGCAATCGCGTCCATTGACTTTACAGGTAGGGGCCACACAGCACGGTCCCCATCTTGGCTTAAAAGAAATGAGATATCCACCTCCAGATCGGCGTGGAACCCAAAAGAGTTAAGCTGAGTTCTATAAGCAAAAAGCAGCCAAAAGGTTGTGGCCCGACAGGGTCCTGCGCTCTGCGTTAAAAGATTAATCCAGTCTTTGAAAGATTAGACACGGGCTTTGGAACAGTGGGAGATCTATTGGCCGAATATTCAACAGGCATCAGACTTCTTTTGATTATGTTAGATGAAAATGACAGTGATACTTTTTTTTATTTCACACAATTATTAACACGTTATTAACAAAAAGTGACCTAAAGGGTGGAAGAAACAAAGGACATATATATATATATATATGTGTGTGTATACGTGTGTGTGCATTTGTGTGTGTGTGTGTGTGTGTGTATGTACTGACAATCGGCTTGAAAATTATGTGATTAGTCATCTAACACCTACCTATGAGTCCCTAAACATAGTTGCTATAGCAATGCTAGACCCTGAATGTTCTGTCCTCTCATTATAGTGGTGCAGCCTTGAGTGTGTGTGTTCTGTGTCGTGTAGTCTTTCGCTTTCAGCTGTCGGATTTTCCTCTCTTACTGTGAGAAAGTGAAACACCACCGTGCCTTCATATGGGGGGAAGCTAGGTTTCCAGAACTGGTCCAAAAATGCACTTTTTTTTTTTTAGATTTCTGGAAACATTTGGACGAACCGTCAGAAAGTTGTGACGGACACAAACTATATGTGTCTCTGCTTCGGTCAGAGCTCAGGCAGGAACCTCTGCTGGCCGTTCCAGGCCGGCTTGTGTGTTTTTTTTTGTCTGGGTTTTGTGCTCCTCGGTGCCCACGTTTTTCTCCCGGCTAGGATGGAGTTGAAATGTGCAGGGGAGACGGACAGATCCCTCCAATCAGCTTCCATGGCAACAGCCATGATGGGGAGGGAGAGAGATTCGGGGGAGGGGGGGGATAGAAGAAGGAGGAGGAGTAGGAGGAGGGGGAGGCAGCTGGAGGGGTTGTGTAGGGAGGTGGGGGCGGGGATGTAGTTCCAGCGTGAGTGGAGGGCTGGAAGAGGACTAGTTTTTCAGTGTAAGAGAAAGAACTCGATGAGGGTGCTCAGCAATCTGAACAATGGCTACAATCGGGGGGGGGGGGGGGCTACGTCAAGATCTCTGTGTAGAAAACAAATGTATTTATTTATTTTTCTTTTCCATGAAATATCTTTGTCACTGAGAGGGCTCAGACATAATAATCTCCATTATTTGTGTTATTATAGTTGGATCTTTGATGTCTGCAGGGCTAACAGGCGTAAATAGCCGTTATTATCTGGCATTATTCCCTAAAAGGGACCTTCAGTCTGACAATGTTTCTGCTGATTGAGTTCTGAGTGACCTTGCTGACCATCTGCTGCCTGACGGCTACCTTCCTGTCCGGCCACGAAGCTCACAGGCACGGATCCAGCTCCCAAACAGCCTGTTTGACTCCACTGTGTTTTGTCACTCGCTTTCTTGTCGTCTGAGTTTTTCGTCGGAAAAGCTCAGACAAGAGTGGACTCTCCATCAGATCAGAGTTCTCACTGCTCTCTTCTTGTCCACCACAATACGACATACATTCATATTAGCAAGACAGCATGAGCGGATCCACTGATGCTATAGGCCTGTGAAGTGAAATCATTTTGGATGAGTGGAGGATATTTAACACACTTTAAAGAATCTGTTGGAACAACACTAAGATCTGAAAATTGCATTAATTTAGAAAAAATTAGTTTTTTTTTTACTGCTTATTCTTTTATTTATCATATTTATACAGTTCAACACTCACTTTATCTGTATTTAAATGACCTAATCTACCCAATGCCCACTTCCTTTATGGTAAATGATGGCACAGTTCCTGTGTTTAATACACAAACCCAACCCATATATGTGTGTGTATATACACACATCACACTATTTGTGTGGCATGATGAACTGAACTTGGTAACTGCATCTGTGTAATGTAAAAAAAAAGTTGAATCGAATGTCATTTTGATTATCAATCCCAGATGATAATAGAAATAGATGTATGAAATAGAGGAATGAATGAAATATAACTGAGTATGTCTGATTATCGTAGATGGATAAGAGATAAAAGTGCGTTTAAGAGAGCTGCATGAGGCGATTGAGGGCATCCTCGCTCTCTTCCCTTTGGCCAGCAGGGGGCGACCTCTAGCCGGGTTCCAGTCAAAAGCCCCCTCATTAACTCGGGGTGCAGCCGTTCCCCTGGAGGGAGCCCAGAGAGGCCCGGCTGTCTGTCAGCACCGGCCCACTGAGCCGTGGGGGGGGGGTCTGGGGCCAGACATGGAAAAGAAAAAAAAGACAAAGAAAGAGACGGCAAATCCGTCTGCGTTCTGTTTCGGTCTACTTAAATGTGAAAAGAGGTGTTTCTGGTATCTTTGTTGGGATTCAACATTTTTGCTGGCAATCCGCCGTTAAAACGGACCATAACAGGGTGCATCATGCGTAGAAATTGTGGGACATGCGAGTCTTGGATCACAGTAGCTGTATGGCCTCGCTGGCTGATGTGTGTGTGTGTGTATGCACATCTTTATATTTTAGTATTAATGCCAGATGATTTTAGTGTAAGAAACTTACCGCTCTGTTCACAAAGTAGCTTCTATTTTTAGCTTTTAAGTATAGACTCTCCCAACATTTATGGCCCAAACTACATTTAAATGAGCACTTTTTCTCTCTTTCCCCAAAGGAACCATCAGTTCAAAGAGTGCACCATGCACCTCTTCATGGTGAACAGTAGAGGGCGCACTTGATTAAGCCAAGCCCATTTCTTCTGTTCTGGTGAGATAAAGCAGGTCAGTCCACATCCCATGAATGCATGTTAAAATCTTGCACCGACAGAAGAATTTGCTGCTTTTTTTTAAGGCTGAATAACAAACAAAAAAGACACGCATGTTTATTTCGTTTTGGTTTTTTTTACATCCGAAATGGGATTGCCCTCGTTCACCACAGCCAGATGTGGCGAGTTGTGGCCAGGAGAGGACAGTTTTTTTGTTTTTTTCCCGAGGAGGGCGAGAGCTGGTCAGTGGAGCAGATGGCATCTCCGTCTGTCTGCTCCGTATGAAAGAGCCCCGAGTTGTTGTTCCCCACATACATTTGGTTCCTTTCTGTTATTCAACCCCGGAGATTGTGCATCCTCATATGATGACACAGCGTTCTGCCCCTGT